AATGTTTGAGGTACGCGACGACCAAGTCGCAGGCACGCAGTGACGGAGGATTCCGGACCTTTTGCCTCTGCCGTGTCGTACGGGGTTTTGAACACAAAAAGTTTTGCCTTGCTGCTCAGCTCTAATAAAATTTCCACTTCATAATGCCCTTTTGAAATGCGAGGACGCGAGCTTGTTGTCGGGCGCTATGCTGTCAGTAGTGCCAAGGTCAAGGCAGTACGCAACTGGAGTTGCCCCCAGTTGCAGTTCCGGCTGGATATAAGCTCATGAAGAATCTGTGGATCATTTTAGTCACGTAGCATAACATGGCACTCAGGATGGACAAAGAAATGATCCTTCTGCCGCCCACAGTAGCAGGGCAAGCTCAGCTTAATACCCTGTCTCTGTGCGCCGCTATCTCTGCTTTAATAATTTTCTACTCTGTGGCGATGCCGCTGTTCTTGATTGTCGGGTTCTGGCTCCTGCCATTTGTCGAGGTAGCGAGGTGAGCCGCAAGGAGGTGTTCTGGTCAGTTGTCATACTTGTTCTTCCTCTTGGAGGGGAAATTAGCCTGCCGGACTTGCTTTTGGCTGCCAATCGACTTTTTTGACCTCGTCAGGTGTGTCAGCCTAACGCCCGGACCTGGGCTCAAGGAATGCCAGGAAAAGGATACCCAATGCGAGCAGGTATGGTGATGGCAGTATGCTTTCTTGCGGCTGACTTACCGAGGCAGTTGTCACTGATTGGACATGTTGCCCTGGGTCCAGTTGGGCCTGCTGAGAGTGATCTCAATTGCCTTCAATCTAAGTCCGTCCAGATTGGCGTTCGTTGCCTCCAACGTGCTTCACACGCTTGCTCCCTCTTGCCCCGTGCTGGGATTGCCCAAATCGATGACCAGGTGCCCCCTACCTGCCACGAGAACATCTTGTTCGATCTAGCGGATGCGGAGTGCTCGCACGCGTGCGTAGAGCGTGGCTGCAGCACAGAAATTACGGGTGATGGTTTCGAGGTTCGCTCCAACGACGTGTACGAGCCCGTATGCTACGAGTGCGGCTGCGGCTGCCATCGTCGCCACCGCAGCAGCAGCGGCAACGCCCTTCAGCCTGCGGCGACACCAGTCTCGGCCTGTCCGGATCCAAGCCAACCCACCGCCGCCTCGCTGGACATCGTCGCTTCAAGCCGGCCCGCCGCCGCCGCACAGGACCCCCTCACGCCCGCGTTTGCAACCCCCGAGCCGCTGCCACCACCACGGCCTTCGCCGTCACCATCTCCGCCGCCCATGCCGCTCCTGCCTCCCGCAACGCCCCAGCAGCAGCCACCCCACCAGCCGCCGGCACCGCCGCCCGACCCGCCGAGCGAGCCGCCCGCAGTCGCCTGCTACAGCAGCCTGCTATCGCCGGACAAGCGCCAGCTGCCCGAAGCGCAGCGCTCGCCCCCCGCGACCCCCACCGCCAACCCTGCCACGGCATCGTTGTCGATGTCGCTGGCCGCCTCGTCCTTCGAGGCTGCCGAGACCGCCAAGATCGCCTTGCTCCTGACGGCCACCTCGCCGAACGCAAAGTCCCGCAAGGATCTCGTCGTATCATCCGCGCCGTCAAGCCGCCGGTCAAGCTTCGGGTATAACCAGCCGCCGCCGCGGCGGGCCGCTCGCGGCGGCACCGCCACCGCCACCACCAACGTCAGCGGCATCAGCCCCAGCGTGAGCCTCAGCGGCAGCATCAGCAGGAGCAGCAGCGTCGCCAGCGAGCCAGTGATCTCCGCCACCGGTGTCCTCGGGGGCAACGATCTGGGGAAGCCGAGCTACATGCGGGGCACCGCCGCGTCGCGGGCGAAGCTCATGAGCGCGACGGCGACGCGCGAGCCGTCGCGACTGGGCTGCTCCGTGCAGCTGCTAAGCTCTGCTTCCAGCTCCGGCTCCATCAGCCGGCGGGCGCTCACGGGCCGGAGCTTCAGACAAGCAGTGAAGTACTAGGCGAGCTCAAGGGCAAGGCGAGGAGTCGCGGACTGGGAGGCAGTAAGGAAGCGCGGGAGGGTATTGGGATTCATGGGGAGGTCGGGGGCGGAGGGGTAGGTACAGGAGGTTGGGTAGAAGCCACGGGGTCGGAGGCAAGCTTGGGTAGGTGATGGAGGGGGGAGGGGGGTTGCGAAAGGTGCGGGGAAGCGGGATGGAGGGGCGGTGAAAATGTTCGGGCTGCGTGCGAAGGGGGCCGCGGAGCATCGGAGGAGGTAGCCGCGGGCATCAGGAGCCTGCGGGGGCTGGGCTAGCGGCTACGCTCGCGTGTTCAACCGAAATTACCAGCCAGAAGGGCCGCCAGCGCTGCTCTTGAGCGACGTTCAGAACTTCAATCCACGTGATTAAATCCGACCCAAACTCTGTTTTTTTGAGTTCGCGTGTGCTGCACTGTACTCCACGTGCTTCATACCAGGGGCACCCTGGCACAAATGCCGGGTGATGGCGGGTAAGGTGCCGAGTGATGGGGCGTGCGGTGGCGCTCTTGCGAGACGAAGGGGCACACGCGCAGGGGGAGGCACATGCTGATGTGTCTCCAGACAAATAACGGAGGTGCATACGGCCCTTGGCCGACCGCCTTACCGAAGGTGCTTGCGGCCCTTACCGGCTGGCTGCCATTGCCAGCTGCGCAGCGGCTGATAGGTGGCTGCCGGGGTCGTGAGCGGGCGCGGACGCAGGCGGTGTGAATATGATAGCTAACCTGGGGGTGGGACGCCTCGGACGCTGCGTGTCGTATAGGCACGACGCTGTACATATATGGCCTGACGTACAGCGGCCGGTCGCGGTTATTGCGAGGCGTTATGCATACTGCTCAACCATGGGTGTAGTTCTGATGACTTCATGACAATACTTTGTGCGGGTTTCGCAGCAGCTTTGCGTCGAGATCCAGAGCGCGTGTGTATGGGTGAGGCTGCAGCGGCGGTGGCTTACGCAGAACGCGCAGGTTGTCTGCGTAAGGATAGCAGGTTCGCTGAATTAAGGCAGGGTCGGTTCGCGGGCTTGGCCGCTTTAGGAGGGCCGTGGGTCGTAATCCGGGGCAGTTGCCACCACCAACCACCACCACCACCAACCACCCAGGGTAGGTGTGTGAGTGGGAGCGTTTTGGACTTTCACAGCGTGGATGCCTGGTTATAATCGGCACTGCTCAACAAAACGGCTAGCAAGGCGACTCACGGGCGGCGTACTGCAGGCCCGGATTTCTGGGTTTTATGGCTTGGTAAGGGCTCCTGGGGGGAGGGACGGGCAGGACCAGTGTGATGTGAGGGCCGCATTGGACCCCTGTGTCAGCCGATGGTTCACGTGGCTTTCTTGTCCGGACCTTGGGACACGGTACTAACTCGTCCATGCTTACGCCTAATTCTTTATTTGCACACTGCTTTTCGCGTGCGCCATGAGAGTGAGTTTGACATCTAGCATTCCCAACTTAGGTGGGGTAAGCGGCGCGTTTAGCCGGCTTGTGGACTATAAATGTCGTGGAGGCAGGCGAAGAGGGAGGGGCCTGGACGGCACTTTCCGGGGTATCTGTAGCCGTAGCGTGAAGGCCGCGGCAGCGCTGGACTCGCCGCGGCGGCGGGGCTGGGCGGATAGGCAGTTAAGGTGCAGCGTATGCAGGAAAGGCGGATGGGGGGGGGGCAGCTGGAGGGCACCGGTATGGTGGGTTGGGCGGGTTTGGGTGGGATAACCCAGCGATGGGCACTGCCGGATTAGAGGGGTTTCTAGCACGCCTCGGCGTACCGTATGTGTGGGTTCCTGGGGTACGAGGAGAGCTGGTATCTGTGGGTACGTGTGGGCCCGCCGCCGTGTACACGTGTTGGTGTACGGTGGCGTCGAGTGCCGCGCACCCGCAGCGCCATGGTGGTGACTTTGTCGCGTTGGGTGACTTGACCGTGTTACTGACCGTGTTACTGTGCAACTCAATCCATCCGTTTTTTTGGGGGTGCATATTGCTGCCCTAGGGCGTCACTTAAGGGCCCCACGTCTTTGGCGGAGTGCGCGGAATTCTTTTATCGATGTAACATCAGTGACCAGAGATACGAGCCGTTTGGTTGACGTACAGCAGCGGTTGAAATACCAACCACCAACGCAATACATCCGGACTGAGCGGCTGACCGGGTGACCGCCGGGCTAATGTACGACAAGCAACCGGTAGTCAGACTCGAAAGCTGGATGGACTCACTGACATACCTACTTTTACCGTATGCATTGACACGCGTAGTGTGGTGAGACCCAATTACCGTTCACATGAAGAAAGGACATACCTATATCCAAAGAGGTATGTCCAAAGAGGCCACGTACAGATCAATACAAATATCAGAAATGAAAATAAGGGCCCCTCCGGGATCGAACCGGAGACCTGCTGATCTGCAGTCAGCTGCTCTACCACTGAGCTAGAGACCCAGATGATATTAGCTGCTATTTATACATATTAGTACCGTATCATCTACTAAAACTTCCCACTAGACGCACGACAGGTTATAGTGAGCAGTTCAGGGCCCCAGCCCCATACTTGCTCTAGCATGCGACCGGGAGGTCCGGGCCTTCGTTGCCTTGCTATTGAGTGTACCTACAGGTGTCTAGGGTCAGGTCCTGTGGACCTGTGCCGCCGACCCTTCGTCTGCCAGGAGGCTACTATGGTGGTACGTATGCACTTGCTCGGAAGGCGCCACCACTCGATAATCTATGCTACGTATCCACGGCGGCCATGGCGGCCGTGGCCCACATGAGAGCCGGTTTCTATGCGTGAGAAATGGACGTGAGTCGCAGGGTCCGTCGGTTGCTGTTAGGAGTGGACGCCATTCGCGGATGGGGTGTCCAAGATTTAGTGTGTGCTGACTATCTAGTGGGCGTGTGGATGTGCGTGGAGCCTGGGGCCTGATGTGCGAGTGGCTCGTCGTCGCCCGGGCGGCCCCGTGCTGACTGCTGGCCGACCGCGGACTGCTGGCATATGCGCATAACCGTACGTACAGCTTCATTGCACTCCCCGTCAGTAGAACAAACTCAATATGGAACATACGATCTGCCTGGATCGAACAGGCGACCTAAGGATGCCTTTCTGCAGCTACAGTCCTTCGCTTTTCCAGCTGAGCTAAGATGGGTTGCCCGTCAGATGGGAAAATATTATAATATAGGGAAAAAACCAATCCAAGTCATATGCGAGCCTGCGTGGTGGCGCGTCGCCCGCCGCCGATAGAACGCAGCGCATCTGCAGGTCGGTAACAACTCGGCGGGAATGTAAAAAAGTCATCAAGTCCCAGCCAACAATCCGCACATACATGCTCATCGCTCGATCGCTCTGGCGGGGATATATATACAGATTATATCTCTAGCCGTATCTAGGGGTTGATCGCGCTCCCCTCTGCACATGCACACATGACCCGACGTGCGTACAATCCTATAAATTCCATCAGCTGCCGCTGCCGCTAACCCCCATCCTGCACCACCGCCGCCGGCGGCCAGTAAAACATGGCCTGCACGGATAACCTCGCGTACATGTATATGCATTCGTTCCATATGTATATCCGCGTTTCAGTTTCGCCTTGTTTTGCCATTGGCTGCTTGTGGGGGTGTTGTAGCGTGAATACTTAGGCATATTTCGATGCCGCGGTATTGCTACGACTTCGACGCGCGAAGGAACGCCGCTAGTAGGCGTACTGGCGGGCGGTCCTAATAGGGACGCGAAAGACTCCCGTCGAGTCTGTAAGGCGCTCCCGGCGCGATCGATAGAAGAAGTTCTCTAGAATATAAAGAACTAGATAGCGTGTGAACGCGCTACACAGTAGACCCCGCCGTTCGTATCGACGAAGGTCGGTCGAAGGTCTACGTAGTAGAGTTACGAACTAAACAGATACGAATGCGTGTCAGACGCGAAGGTCCTCGAACGTACGGAATCCCAGAGGTCGTTTCAGCCTTCTTCGCAACAGGGTATAAAAGCCCTGGAAGGGAGCCTGGTTAGCAGAGTAATCTACTCGACGGTTACTGGACCACTGCTGTTGAGACCTGTGCTTGACGGAGCGAAACCGTCCTGAAACTTGGCACGGTTAAGTGCTGCTCCCGCAACAGGGGGGATGGGGGGCGACAGCCCCCCGCCCCCCACCAGCGGGGGGAAGGGGGTCTGGGGGAGGGGCAGCCCCTCCCCCCAGCATGGCCCAACGGCTTTCACACACGGAAACGGATCCATGCATTTAATGTACTCATACTACGATAACGATGATGACCAACATTACGGGCTCCAGGGGCTAATAAGTTACATACATACGTGCGTGTGTTTGGTATAAGTGTTGATCGCGCAAAGCTGTGGCTGGCTGGGTTAGTTGCTGCACAGCAGATGCACAGCTCGATCGGCACGTACGCATGGATACCTATGGATGGTTCGGCGGCGGCGGGCGGGGCAGATGCCGTAAGTGGCGGGTGGCATCGATGGTATATACGTATGGAAGTAAGGCACGCGCGCACAAGCTGTGTACGTACGTACGTCACGGCAGTTTGCTGTGGCACGGCAGGCGCTACCGGCGCAGACACGGTACGTAATAGGCAGGGGTGCACCATACGCGATGCCCGAATGAATGGAATTATTGTACATGTAAAACCGACCTCAGCTAAGAACTAACGGTGCGCAATGTGGGGGGCTCATGGCCGTGGACCTCCAAGAATGGCTGACTAGTACATACGCTAAACCCAAACCCTAGGTACCCAAGTAAGGTTGGGTACGTAGCGTATGTACTAGTCAGCCATAGGTAGCTAGGGGTTGGCGGGGGTTTGTGCGCGCTTTGCTGTTAAGAACCCCCCCCCTGCTCTCCGCCGTCGTTTTAACTCTTTCCGTAAAACTCATCCGCCGCGCGCACCCGCCCGCGCGCAGGACGAACCCACATCGGGTGTGGATTCGACAGCCGCACTGAAGGTAGGCAAGTCGACAGCTAGATATATTAGCTTCAATGTCATGATGGCGTAATCCCTACCTCCGGCAAGGATCAATGGATGCTTCGTTCCTACCCCGATCTGGGTTCTGTTGTTGTGGGCCTACCTGAACTGCATTTGCTTGTAAGCAAGCTGCTTGCCTACCTGTATGTTCTGCACCGACCGCACGGTTCGGTAGGTTTTATTTCCGGCAGGTTCAGGGCGGGTCCCCCCAAAATAAAACCACGCAGTCCCTCTTTTGTTGCTTTGGGGTATTATGTACATACATCTTGCGGGTAGAGCGAGGCCCACCGTATTATTTAGTTTTGTTTTTACTTTCCAAGGGATGTGTTATGTGTGGCTCGTCGGTATCGTGCCTTAGAGCCAAGCAATCGATATCGATGTTAGTTTCAGCCGGACGTAGGACACTTTTACACACCTACCCTCGATATCCGGTAGGTATACGTAAGCTGGGTGCGTGCTGGGTGTGCATCAGCAGGCATGCCGTACATCGATCCGGCCAGCAGATATACCTGTACGTATGTTTGCCCGTGTTTTTGTCCGTGTGTGTGTGGTTGCCTGCATGCTGCCTCCACGCAGATCATTCTCTACCTCAAGGTTTACGCGGCCCGGAGTCACACCGTCATCACCACCCTGCACCAACCGAGCTCCGCCATCTGGAATGAAATCGAAAAGGTACCGCAAGGAGAGACGCATGAACTACTCACGTACTGATGCTGGGCGCGCGGGTAACAACCGCACGCACGCACACACTGCCCCGTGCGTGCGTTAGTTTGGCCCCGAACCTACCCCGCTTTGGGTTGGGCGGATGGCGATGGCGGCATGAGCTTGGAGTACCATACTATCGATCGATCAATCTCCTAGGAAGTGCCTGTGAGTTAGGGCACGGAAAGTTCGATCCCGGCCTTCGCAGATGGCTGGGTGACTGATGGGGGCGGGCCCTGACGTACGAACAGCTCTTCAGCCATGTCCCTGTCCCCTGCACTGGTAAAACTCATCACGGTTGAATGTTCAATAATGATGATGTGTCGGGCATATCTGGGAAGAATGCGTGCGGGTATCCAGATATGATCTGAGTGAGACGGAGCCCAGACACGGAGGGGTGGGAGAAGCAACCCATCTTAGTCAAAAATACGGTCACCGCGGTAGTGGGCTCTACCCGCCGAAGAGGCATCAGTCTGCTCCCTTAACACACGCTAGAGCTTACGGTCCAGCGTAAACGTTCGTTTTCCTTTGCTATTATATTATATTATATTATATTATATTATATTATATTATATTATATTATATTATATTATATTATATTATATTATATTATATTATATTATATTATATTATATTATCCCCCAACCCCCATGCGTATATATATGTGCGTGGATGGGCTTTGGTTCGAGGCCGTGCCGCCGCCCAACATACATGCATGTCGGTTGTATGTATGTGTTCAACTTCCTACCTGCTGCTGGTGATGGCTGCATGCAAGTCTTGTTCCTTTGCGACGGGCGTCCCAGGTACCTGGGCTCGCCCCAAGGCGTGGTGCCGTACTTCAACGGCGAGTTGGGACTGCAGTACATTCCAGAGCGCAACGGCCTTCCCTCCGATTGGGTCATGGACCTCATGTCGCCAGGCATGGCCCTCGTAATTCATCAGGTGCGTGCGTGCGTGCGCCTGCGTAGCTAGCTAGCTGCTGGCTGCTGTTCAACAACGTTTGTTGTAACTCGCACATCAACATGGATGAACATGCTTTGGGACTCGTCCCTGACGGACGACATGCATACATACATGCTTTCACCCGGGGGGCACGCACTTCCATCCCGCGGACATACACTGCTTGAGATACCATACACACAACGGACAGCTGAACCATCCACTGTCATCGATCACGTGTCTCTATCCGTGGACGGATGGACACGCAGACCCGCGGGTCGGCGGTGATGATAATGCATGAGTGTGCGTGCGCGCTGCTAGTAGTATGCGTGAGTGTATGTGCGTGCAAGCAAGTGTGCATGACATCGATTCATCCAGGCGTGCGTGTCCGGTTGCATGGGGCATGGGGGTTGGGGGATGCAGGCATAATCCCGTCCCTGAACAACGATCCAATCTACCCCCATGCGCCATGCCCCAGCGTGTATGGCGGCGGATCGATGAACCCGGATTGGTTTATTTGCCTCTGGCCATTTCCGCGACGATGACATGACGCGATTCTTGCTATCCTGCATGCGTGTTTTGTAACCCTCCCTCGAGCAACTAACGCGCCCCGCCGCAGTCAAACGAATGAAGGCTTATCATCAAAGTTCCACCCGCCTGGAATGCATGATGATGCACGATAATCCGTACTGCTGTGTGATGATGTCTATTCTTTGTGCAGGAGGGGCAAGGCGACGGTAATTGCAAGGCTGCGGATGGTGTGCGCGAGCGCCTGGAGGCGGCGGCGGCGCGCTTTCAGTCACGGTGGGGCAGCGCTCCTGATCAAAATCAGATGGGCAACGATGACGTCGCCGCCGCCAACGATGCCAGTGCGCCCAACATTGACGTTATCGTCGACGGTGACACTACTTTTATTACCGCCAACGGTGGCAGTGCTGCCAAAGTTGCTATTGGCAGCAATGAAGGCAACGATGGCATCGCACCGAGTGATGATTGCAGCGCAGCCTGCAGCAGGAGCGACGATGGCGCTGTTGCCGCCGGCTGCTGCAGCGGCGGTGGTGGCCGCATTGCTTCTTCTTCTTCTTCTTCTGCTGCTGCTGCTTCTGCTGACGACTGCGTTCGAGTACCGATTGCTGCTGGTGACGTGTCCAGCCACACGGCGGGGCGCTCCACCTGGATGCACCAGTTCGCTGTGCTCCTCAAGCGGGAGGTGCGTGAGGCAGCTGCTACATGATAAATGACAAATAAGCCGATGATGATTCCCTGCATATTCGAGCTGTGTCACGTTGACTACTGGGGCGACATCCGATTGGCTGGCGGGGTCCTCGGCTCCTACCTGCTGCCCTATGGATAGATCTGGCCCGCCCGCCGGTTCCACCCGTCCTAACTATCTACCCACGCACCCTTATTACAATCGTGCCTTGCTGTGTATGCATGTATGCATGTGCCCATTGATTTGCTGCTGATGTGGTCGGTCGGTCGTGCAGGTCCAGATGATCACGCGCAACCGTGCCGACGCCGGGGGGCGCATGGTCACCTGCATGC